AGACGAGGGGTTTTTTTTTTTTTTTTTGAGAGTTTTTTTCTATAGGGTGCACGCACTTGCCAGCAGAAACAGAGAGACAGAAAGCAAGAATTTACACCCCAGGGGGTATGGCCACACCACAGTCTCTTCTCTATTCTTTTGGGCACGCTCACACACACACCCAGCTTGAGTTTTAAGCTGCTGGATATGGAACTCGAACCACGGTTGACTATGTGGGAGTCCATTGATGTAACCATTACACCATCTGCTGGTCCCCTGAAAGATCTTTTCCCTTCTTCCAGTGAATAACTTTTTAAAAATTATTTATTTATTTAATTCCATTTGTTATTATTACTACTTTTAATTTGACCAGAGATAGAGAGAGAGAAAGGAAAAGCAAAAAAGCAAGCCGCCAGGTTAGGGACTCAAACCATGGTTGGTCATGTGGGAATCCAGTGCCTTTAACCACCACGCCACCTGCCAGCCTCCAAGTTGATAACTTTTTAAAAAAATTGTTCCTTTATTTAATTTTATTTATTTATTTATTTTAAGAGGTTTTTGCTATAGGGCATGTGCACTTGCCAGAAAGAGAGAGACTATAGCTAGAAATCACTCCCCAGGGAGGATGGCCACACCACAATCCCTTCTCCTCCATTCTCCTCTTGGGATCTTGGGCATGCACACACACGTGTCCAGCATGAGTTTAAGCCACCGGGTCCAGGACTCAAACTGCAGTCAACTACATGGGAGTCCAGTGACATAGCCATTATACCAACTGCTGGTCCCTATTATTTTTATTCTTTTCTTTTTTAGAGAGGTTTTTGCTATGGGGGTCCCTATTCTTTTTAATTTGCTATAGGGCACATATGTTTGAGAGACAGAGAGAGAGAAATAGAAAAAGTGAGAAAGCAAGCTGCCACATCCAGGACTTGAACCATGGTCAGCCATGTGGGAGTTTAGCACCTTAACCATCATGCCGCCTGCTGGGCTGCCCATAGATAACTTTTTGTTACTCTTGTAAGACTGTTTAAATATCACTTCCTTGAGGAATCCTCTATAATTTTCTCATTTATCTTTCCCAGGTCATTTTTCTTTGCCTTCATCGTCTTATTCATGATTCTGTCCTGGCACACATTCCTCTGGTTGTCGGTTTTCTTTCTCCTATTTTGCCATTAGATTGTGAGTTTTGTGGTTCTTTGCTCGTATGCAGAAAGAAGGGTACAGAAAAGGATAGAGAAAGAAAATCCAGTGGGGCCAGCAGGTGGCACGGTCATAAGACTCTGGATCCAACATGACCAACTATGTGATTTGAGTCCTGGACCTGGTGGCTTAAAAAAATACCCCAGATGAGGGGCCAGCTAGTGATGTAGTGATTAAGGCACTGGACTCCCACATGCCAGACCGCAGTTTAAGCCCCAGACCCAGGGCCTTGAAAATCATGCCAGGCACGTGTGCATGTGTGCCCAAAATCCTGAGAGGAGGATGGAGAAGGGATTCTGGTATGGCCATTCTCTCTGGGAGGGTAATTTCTCACTTTCCCTCTCACTACCTCTCCCTAGTGAGTGTATGTGCCCTATGGCGAAAACCTAAAAAACAAACAGAAAACACATCAGGTGTGTTTGCATGAGTGCCCCCAAAATTCCAAGAAAATGGAGGAGAAAGGATTACAGCATGATCATCCCCTCAGGGGATGTTTCCTCACTTCCTTTTTCTCTCTGTCTCTGGTGAGCACATGTCCCCTGTAGCAAAGAAACTTAAAAAAAAAAAAAAAAAAAAGGGGGGGGAAACCAGCAGAGGGGA